TCAATGATCTCCAGGCAGCTGGGATCACAGTCACCAAGAAAACAATTAGTAACATGCTACGTTAACAAGGATTGAAATCCTGCAGTGCCTGCAAGGTCCCTCTGCTCAAGAAAGCACATGTCCAGGCCCTTCTGAAGTTTGCCACTGAACATCTGAATGATGCAGAGGAGGACTGGTTGAAAGTGTTGTGGTCAGATGACACCAAAATCGAGCTCTTTGGCATCAACTCAACTTGCTGTGTTTGGAGAAGGAGTGCTGCCTATGACTCCAAGAACACCATCCCAACTGTCAAACATGGTGGTGGAAACATTCTGCTTTGGGGGTGTTTTTCTGCTAAGGGGGCAGGACAACTGCACCGCATCAAAGGGACGATGGATGGGGCAATGTACCGTCAAATCTTGGGTGAGAACCTTCTTCCCTCAGCCAGGGCATTGAAAATGGGTCGTGGATGGGTGTACCAGCATGACAATGACCCAAAACACATGGCCAAGGCAACAAAGGAGTGGCTCAAGAAGAAGCACATTAAGCTCCCGGAGTGGCCTAGCCAGTCTCCAGACCTTAATCCAATTGAAAATCTGTGGAGGGAGCTGAAAGTTCAAGTTGCCAAATGTCAGCCACAAAACCTTAATGGATTGGAGAGGATCTGCCATGAGGAGTGGGCCAAAATCCCTCCTGAGATGTGTGCAAACCTGGTGGCCAACTACAGAAAACGGCTGACCTCTGTGATTGCCAACAAGGGATTTGCCACCAAGTACTAAGTCATGTTTTGTGAAGGGGATCAAATACTTATTTCCCTCATGAACATGAAAATCAGTGCATAATTTGTTAGACATGCATTTCTTTTGAATATTTTGTTGCGATTCTGTCTCTCAGTGTTACAATACACCTACCATTCAATTTTTAGTCTGATGATTTCTTTGTGAGTGGGCAAGCATTCAAAATCAGCATGGGGTCAAATACTTATTTCCTCTCTCTCTCTCTCTCTCCCCCCCCTCTCTCTCTCTCTCTCTCCTCCCTCCCTCCCCCTCTCTCTCTCTCTCTATAATTTATTTATTTATTTAATTTTTTTTAACTTTCTGGTATAAAACTTGTCTTCATAAATTTTGTCCAACATGTGTTCTGCTACATGAATTTGGTAGAAAAATCCCAATATGCGTATATTGATTGGTTTGTGTGAAATTTATAGCATCTACAATGGTATATATACTGGAATTTATATTTATTTATTTTTATACTAGTAATGGCAGCGATAAGTGGGAGTGGAAGTGTGATAGTGTGGAGGGCAATCTGACACTAACTGAGGCTAGGTGGGAACTAACTGACACTGACATTAGCAGTGCCACTAATACAGTGATCAGTGCTAACGCTATCACACTGTCACTGTACTAATGACACTGGCTGGGAATGGGTTAACATCTAGGGGCAATCAGAGGGTTATCTGTGTGCCTAACAATGTGTAATGTGTGCTGCTTTTACTAAGCGGTGTGTTTAATTTTTCTCCCTGCTTTGCAGAGAGAAAAAAACAAGCACATCCTTGCTGTCCATTCAGAGCCCTGTGTTGTTAGTAAACACAGGGCTCTGAACTGCCATTCACTAAGCCAAGAAGCAGGTCCTGGTCATAAATCATTGGCTGGGACCTGCTGATCGGATTGTGCTGTAGTAAATGACAGCACAGATGGGGCAGCGCATGTGGAAATGCTGGATCACACAAATGTACATGATCCAGTGCAGCAGGACTGCTCTGCTGCAGTAAATCTGCAGTAGGTGCTCCAGAAGTGGTTAATGTATTCAAACAGCAGGAGCTGTAAGCTGTTGAAAACTAAATGAAGCTTGACTTCAGACTCTCTATTTTGATCTCTGAGGATGAATTACTTCATAGCATGCACATCTAAAGAGGTTGGGGATGGCTTGCTGTAAAGAATCCTAATGAGCCCTGAAAAATTAAACTCTAGTCTATAAAATCATGTTGAAGTACCCGAAGTTTAAAATGCTGAACCACTGAATATTGGTGTGCTTTGTGTATTTCTTCCAGATGTGTGCACTAATCAAGCATTAAATAATTCCTCTGTGCAGGAGATTCCTGTAATAAAGACTGTTCACTGCTGCTCTCTATCCTTGTGCAAGGTGCCTGGTCTTGTATCCACCCCTCTTCTCTGTTTTCTGCAGGCAGTTCTAGTGGGTGGGGCCTGTTGTGCTCCTCCCACATCTCGGCTCTCTACGCAGGCTATGCGCAGTACAGTGATAATGTCACCATTATTTTTACTAGGTAATAACTGGGTACATAAAGGTGTGCAATATATTTGAATTAACATTTTTGTGCCCGGCGTCCAACTCCGGTCAAAACGTTGTATTTTATTTTGGATCAAGTAAGGAGAGGTTTCTCACACATGCGTGCACTCCCTACCTGAAAATGCAAAATCACACACACACATATATATATATATATTTGTGTGTGATTTTTGCACTCCCCTGCTGCCCTGTAGGAGATCTTCTACTATAGGGCGGCGAGCAAGCAGTTAATTGCTGTCCATGCCTTCCTGTCTCGGTGACAACTGCTCTCCCCCACTTTTATTTACTTACCCCACTGGGAGAGGAATTGAGTGCAGATATCCCCAGACAGAAATAAAAACATGACCGAAATTTTATTTGTTCCCTACTCTATCCAAAACTTAAAAAAATTACTTTAACTGCTTCCAGTAATACTGCTACAGGGTGGCACGGGTGCACAAAATCACGTAGGTATACGTGATTTTACATTTCCAGGTAGGGGCCCACCGCCGCTATTTGTGGCCTCGGCTGTCAATCACCGGTTCCCAGCTGGTGATTATTCACCGCCACTTGGTGATCATTACCAATGGTGGGAGAGAACTGTAAGTAAACAATACAGATCTCTCCCATCAGCTCCAGCACACTGTTTTGCATGGCTCTGCATAGCAGAGTCATGCAAAGCAGTGTGCTCACAGTTGAAAGCACACACACAACACACAGTAAAACAGCACACAGCTAACCCTTTGATCGCCCCGCATGTTAACCCCTTTCTGCCCAGTGTCATTAATACAGTGTCAGTGCTTTTTTTAGCACTGATCACTGTATTGGTGTCGCTGGGGATTTGAGTGACACCAAGTCAGTTCACCCCAGGGTCAGAATGCATGCCGCAGTCCTGCAGTCCCACTATAAGTTGCTGATCGCCACCATTACTGGTAAAAATAAAAAAAATCCCAGTATATATACTGCCATTTGTAAACGCTATAACTTTCATGTAAACCAATTAATGTACACGTATCAGAATTTTTTTTAGCAAAGAAATGTAGCAGAATACATTTTGGCCTAAATTTATGACATAATTTGATTTTTACAAATTTTGTACCTTTAATAGCAAAAAGTCCAAAAAAAAGTGTTTTTTTTCTCAAAATTTTCAGTCTTTTTTTTTCTATAAAAAAATAAAAAAAATGCACAGGTAATCAAATACCACCAAAAGAAAGATCTATTAGTGGGAAAAAGAGGACTTAAATTTCATTTGGTTGCAGCGTTGCATCACTGCGCAATTTTCAGTTAAAATAACAAAGCACCATAATGCAAAAAATGGCCTGGTCAGGAAGGGGGGTAAATCAACATGTTTAGATCCTTTCATATTCATTTTTGTTTAGATCTGAAAAATACATTTAACAAATAACGAAAGCTGTAAGTAAAAATTGCATGACCTTTTAAACAGCAGAAACCAAATCCGCACAAATCTACAATATAACCCCAGCCATCAACAGATTTAAATAATCCATGTTTACATTAGATATCCAAATTTGCATTGATAGCAAAATAAAATTATAAAAATTATAGCGCTTCATCAGCAAACTAATATCCTCCCCAGGGGATGTGATGGAGATATATACACCCCATAAGAGCTGTTTATAATCGTCTCTTGTTTCAGGGCCACCGTTCCGGCCCAGAGACCATTCATATCAACACCAGGCCGCTTGTCACTTGCGGTTCTGTCCTGTGTGGCAGATCCTTGCAAAGTGAAAGTGCTTGGCGGGAACCAGTCTAAAGCGTTTCATCTATTATTAATCACTCAGCACAGAAATGATAGGACTCTAGGGAGCTGGGGATATAAATATTTATGACCTTGTTAGCAAATGCTTTTTAAAGAGACAGCGGGAAGACGTGTTGTGTTTATATTCCATGTCAGCGCGCATAGACTTTGTGTCATGTCACGGATCAGGAATATTGTGAAGTGCCGCCGTTTATCGTGGATGTCAGGATCTTTTGCGTCTACACATGTGGCTGTAAAAGTTAATAGAGATGTCAGGGGTTACATAGATACGGACAGCTTTTGTTATCAAAGCTGCGGCTTTTGGAGGCTCCAGAGATTATAGAATATGACATATATGTGACGTTATAGAAAAGGTTGATGGTGGGAAATGAGACTCAAATTTTAACAATGCAGGATCAGTGGATGACTGTGAATAAAAAGCTGCTGAGAAGGTAAAATATTGCATGCAAGGTTCAACCACTTGCCTACCAGGCACTTATACCCCCTTATTTACCAGGCCAATTTTCAGCTTTCAGCGCTGCCGCACTTTGATTGACAATTGCGCGGTCATGCAACATTGTACCCATATGAAATTTTGATTATTTTTTTCTCACAAATAGAGATTTCTTTTGGTGGTATTTAATCGCCACTGGGCACTTTACTTTTTTGCGCTATAAATAAAAAAATTGCAAAAAATTTGAAAAAAAAAAAAGTTTCTTTGTTTCTATTATAAAATTTTTCAAACAGGTATTTTTTCTCCTTCACTGATGTGCGTTGATGAGGCAGCACTGATGGGCACTGATAGGCACTGATAGGCAGTACTAATGAGGTGGTACGGATAGGCGGCACTGATAGACAGCACTAATGAGGTGTCACGGATAGGCGGCACTAATATGCAGCACTGATAGGCGGCACTGATAGGTGACACTGATGATGGGTACTGATAGACGGCACTGACTGGCATCACTGCTGGGCACTGACTGGCGGCACTGACTGGCACAACCCCTGGGCACTGACTAGTGGCACTGACTGGCAGCACTGCTGGGCTGCACTGCTGGGCGGCACTGGTGGGTGGGCACAGGTGGGTGGCACTGGTGGGCACAGGTGAGTGGGCACAGGTGAGTGGCACTGCTGGGCACAGGTAGGTGGCACTTCTGGGCACAGGTAGGTGGCACTACAGAGTGGCACAGGTGGGTGCACTGCTGGACACAGGTGGGTGAACTGCTGGGCACAGGTGGGTGATCTGCTGGGCACAGGTGGGCGGAGCTAGTGGGCGCATTGCTGGGCACAGGTGGGCGGAACTTGCGGGTGGCACTGCTGGGCACCGATCATCAGGGCACTGATCATCAGTGCCCTGAGGATCGGTGCCGATCCCCGCTCTGACAACTGCCGGTTCTCGACAGTACTTTCCTCACGATCTGACAGCGTGAGGAAAGTGCAGCCGAGAACCAGCACTTGCATTTCCCTGTGATCAGCGTGTCATTGGACACCGCTGATCACGTGGTAAAAGGCCGCTGTGATTGGCCTTTTACCACATCACGTGATCAGCTGTGTCCGTAGGACACAGCGATCACGGAGATCGCCGGGTGCGCGCCCCCTGGGGCGCGCAGGAGAGCGCGTTCTGGGAGGACGTCATATGACGTCCACCCAGAACTGGCCGGCCGCAACGTCATTCGGCTATCTGCGGTCGGCAACTAGTTAAAGGGTAGCTCCACTTTCTTTGAAAAAAAAAAAAAATATATATATATATATATATATATTTATATACAGTTGTGTTCAAAATAATAGCAGTCAGACATCACTAACCTGATCAATCACTGTTTTTGGTAGAAATTATATTTCTACATGGCAAATAATTTACTAGCAGGTGTAGCAGAGTTATAGAAATCCAACAGACCCAACAGTCATGACATGCATGCTGCTGATTCTGTGTAATTGAATCACTAATTGTAAGGGGCATGTTCAAAATAATAGCAGTGTGGAGTTCTATTATTGAGGTCATTCATTCTTTGAAAAACAGGTGGCAATTATTGCCCTTATTTAAGGAAGGAAGGCAGCAAATGTTGTTCATGCTGGTTACAGTGCATTTTTCTCTGAAATTCTGAGGAAAATGGGTCGTTCCAGACATTGTTCAGAAGAACAGCGTACCTTGATTAAAAAGTTGATTGGAGAGGGGAAAACATATAAAGAAGGGCAGAAAATGATAGGCTGCTCAGCTAAAATAATCGCAAATGCTTTAAAATGGCAACCAAAAAATGAAAGACGTGGAAGAAAGCGAAAAACTACCATTCAAATGGATAGAAGAATAGCCAAAATGGCAAGGACTCAGCCAACAATCAGCTCCAGGAAGATCAAAGAAGGTGTAAAGTTACCTGTGAGTACTGTTACAATTAGAAGATGCCTATGTGAAGCCAAGCTATCTGCAAGAAGCCCCCGCAAAGTCCCACTGTTGAAAAAAAAGACGTGCTGAAGAGGTTACAATTTGCCAAAGAGCACATTGACTGGCCTAAAGAGAAATGGTGCAACATTTTGTGGACTGACGAAAGTAAGATTGTTCTTTTTGGGTCTAGTGGCCGGAGACAGTTTGTCAGACGACCCCCAAACACTGAATTCAAGCCACAGTACACTGTGAAGACAGTGAAGCATGGTTGCGCAAGCATCATGATATGGGGATGTTTCTCATACTACGGTGTTGGGCCTATTTATCGCATACCAGGGATCATGGATCCGTTTGAATACATCAGAATACTTGAAGAGGTCATGCTGTCTTATGCTGAAGAGGAAATGCCCTTAAAATGGGTGTTCCAACAAGACAACGACCCCAAACACACCAGTAAACGTGCAACATCTTGGTTCCAGACCAACAAGATTGACGTTATGGAGTGGCCAGCCCAATCCCCAGATCTTAATCCAATAAAAAACTTGTGGGGTGACATCAAAAATGCAGTTTCTGAGGCAAAACCAAGAAATAGAGAAGAACTGTGGAATGTAGTCCAATCATCCTGGGCTGGAATACCTGTTCACAGGTGCCAGAAGTTGGTTGACTCCATGCAACACAGATGTACAGCAGTTCTCAGAAACAGTGCTTATACAACTAAATATTCATTAAGTGATTCAAAGGAAAGCAAAATCTTCAAACATTTTACAGTTTATATAGTGGATGTTTGAGTTTGTAAAGAAGAATACAAACACTGCTATTTTTTTGAACAGTCTAATATTCACTTTTCTTCAATTTTTTTTTAGAGGAAAAACACAAATTTGATATGTTTTCTTCATGTTTTGATTTGGAATAGAATGTGTAGTGTTCCCAATGCATTTGTGTGTATGGAAATAAAAGCTATTAGAAGGATTTTGAGCTTTATTCACTTTTTTCAACACACTGCTATTATTTTGAACACAACTATATATATATATATATATGTGTATAAATATACTACTAAGTTGCTAGACATTCTTCTTTAATGTATTTTGAATTAAAATATGACCTTTGAATTTGTGAAAATGACAACAACTAGGGTGCCGTTCACATCTATTTGTATGCATTTTAAAGCTTTAACATTAACGTGTCTTTTTTTCTATGTGTGTGTATATATATATATATATATATATATACAACATTTGACATACATTTTTTCTGCATTTCATCATGATATTGGCTCCCTGCCGCTCCCAGCAGTTTTTCTCTAATAGCAATTGATCATGTGACTCTAGGAGAGTGTCAGGAATCAGCAGCAGAGATGGCCAAAATTTGCATAGCTACACTCAGGAAACTGGGACCTGACCATATATATTTAAAGTAAAATTTATGTAAGTGAACCAACAGCCCAGTGACAAAATACCTAACTAAACAACCTAAGAGAGTAACAGAAATCCTGACTATTGAACTAACTGTATACAATATATACAAATGGGGAACACAGGAAATCAGGGTAAAATTGGAGGTGCAGGGAACATATAGGAAGGTCAAAACAAATCCTGGGGAGAAGGAACAAGCAGCAGGGTTCATGGTAAAGATACTAGGCAGAGAGAGCAATCAAAGAGCATGAACAAGATAAAGGCTATCAATAGGCAGATGTTACCACCAACGATAAAAAAAATTTGGCCGATTTTCGTCCCGTCTACGGCCGGCATTTAATTACTTCTGTCCCTGCAGAGAGCTCTGCTATTATATTTGACATTAAAAAGTATAGCGGTTACAACATTGTATCTATTTGTATCCATTTCGGATACAGATGTCGGATACAAATAGATACATTGTTGCAACCGCAATACTTTTTCATGTCAATTATAATAGAGGACTGGAATTCTTCTTCTTTTTTTTTTCTTCTTCTGCTTCTTTTTCTTCTTCTTTTTCTTGCAGGTCACGGCTCATGCGCATATTTTTTATTGGTAAAAAGATCGGCCGATTTGCCCATCAATGCTGCGAAAATAGGCCGATCGGCAAAATCGGTCGATTTTTTTTCCAACTTTACCGATCCCAAAATGTGGCAAAATCCACAAAAACGGCCGACCAATTAACCCATTAACAGTGCTAAAATCGGCAGATTTTTTTTTCAGGCGAAAAATCAGTCGATTTTCAACCCATCTATGGCCTGCTTTAGTGTTTAAGTAGCAAAATAGATAAATTCAAACGAAGTCATGTGAACGGTGACGTAACGCGTAGATACGCAAGGACGCAGCATCCGGACAGCGGTGACGTACTTCCGGTACGGCCTCCATCTTAGTCCATCCTGGGAATTTTTTACCCATGCAGTACACTCATGTTTGTGGGGAGAATCGTGCAATATGACATCTTGAATTGGTAAACCCAGTGGAGATCAGGAGCCAGGGCGTCCAGTGTATTATCCCCATGTGATGAGAGGTCTGAAGGAGCTTCCACTCTGCGGCCCACTGGGCCTATGCGCCTTCAAGATCCCTAATGGAAGATCCATTAGGGATCTTGAAGGCGCATAGGCCCAGTGGGCCGCAGAGTGGAGGTGAGCAGGCAATTTGGCCATAGGAGGAGAGTCACTCATCAGCACTGGAAGTTTTGTGTGATCACGCACAATGCATGAATTTTTACTGTGTTGAACACCATCACTACCATTTATGAACTGTGCATACCCACCTGGATTAGTTTTACCCACTGGTCACGTTACAGCGTGGGAGTGAGGGGGGCACGTTTATTGCTATTTATTATTAGTCACGTTGTTATCTGTCAATAGTGTCTTGGCTTCATTTGTATCATTCGTGTGTTACTTTGATATATTTATAAGCATTATTGTATTATTTATACACTTGTTAGTATTTGATACAAGTCTGTGATTGAGCGCTGCACTGCCCTTTTTGTGTTTATTAGTTCTACTGTATGGTACCAGTCTGAGTGCGAGCTGCTTCTAACTATAGGTACTCCATTAAGCGCAGGAGGATTATTTCATATTTTTATTTACCAAAATAGATAAATTCTTATCTGTACAGCTGTTACAATTGTATACATGCTGAATCTGGCAGTCACTGTTTGTGAGAAGCTGCATGGAGTGAAATCCATGTAGCTCACACTCGTTTGCAGTGTGTTTTCTTTTCATCTTTCTCATCACAAGTTTCTTTTAAGTTGCCACTGGTGAGGAGATATATTCAAGGATGGACAGTGAGCTACCTATACTTTGTTTATTAACTTTCATGCTGCTGGATTCCAGAACTTCTCAGTTGTTGCTACAGTTAAAGGCAGAACATGATCATATGATGAAATCATTATTCCATTTTCTCCACTAAAAGAAGGGAAATCTTACATTTTCTAATATAAATAAAACAAAAGTATTATATTATACCCTTTATTCCTCTATTCAGAAGCAGCAGTAAAACAATTGGATTGCTTTTGTGCTCATAAAATAGTTACAGCTAAAATTATGCTTTAGTGAATTTCACTGTGCCATTCACCTACCATTTGTAAAAGAGCAAAGAGATACTTGTACTAAAATATGCCACTTGTTGAATGCCCCTGAGTGTCTGTTTTCATGGATGGAGTGATTTTAATAGGATTTTTTAATCAGCCAGTTAAAGCTATTGGAGCATGGTATGAGAAAATGTACACATTTATTGTTTGACCAGTTACTAGTATAATGTGTAACATAACCTATATATATTTAGGGTCCTTGTGGAAGCTAAAATTGTTTTTAAAAATATTTTAGTCTGTTTGTCTAAGAAAAAGTAAAGAATGACTAATACTGAGCATACATTGGATCCTAAGCATTTGGTCATGTGATCTTTGCTAAAGGGGATGATCAGCCAATGTGAATGCGTATTCTGCCCTGCAACAAAGACCAGATGCCTGGGATTTTGGTC